GGATTTCCCTCTTTTCTCCTGTCTCAATGGTTGGGCAGAGAACGAGGTTGTCGTTCAGAGACAAAAAGCCTCATATTGAATGCAGACTGCTAGGAAGAGGGTTTTACTACATGGGGAGGGATGGCCACCTGAGAGACGGCTCAGTCTGCCTGTGTCTCACTTCCTCTGCGCAGGTGGGGTGTTGGCTTAAACTTGTAGACCAGACTGATACACAGTCCTTTCCTTTCCAGTGTTACGAAGTCTGACTGCTGCAAAGAAAGACTTTCTCTGCTGCTTTGTTTACATGTTTTTCTCTAGGCTTAATGTTGCTTTTAGGTAATTCAGGAGAAGTATGCCAACTCTTTGTGCATTAGGGGGGAAAAGCCATGACAATTAAACAAAGCTTTGCCGTCATTAAGGAGCTGCCTGGGAAGCCTGTAGCCTTGAAAATAAAAATGCATTTCCCAGTAGCCCTTTATATACCGACTCAATCTCTCCCTTTCTCAGGCCAGAACTTGCTCGTGAATGAGCACCGTTGCTCTGAAAGTACAGTGCCACGCCATCAGGGCTTATTTCAGATCAAAAAGAATCCCATTCTTCCAATGAACTGATGGAGTGGTACTTTCTCTCAAATTGGGAAACAAAGGTTGTCCTCTGTTACATTTTTTTTACCCTGGAATGCTCCTTTCTCCTGTGGTTGGGTTGAGGCATCCCACGCAGACCAAGGTCCTCCTGAACACAGCTCCCCTGACCCAGGGCATCAATTTCAGGGATCTTACACCACCCCACAGGGTGCACTTGCCACTCTGACAGTGCACATTTCCATATCACGATGAGAAACACCCCTCATTCTGGGAAATGTAGCTTCCTCTGTGGGTTTCGTCCAGGTGCTAATTACGCACTTTTATTTTTAGCAAATTTGGAAGGACTCATTTTTCTTTTTCCTTTTTTGCTCCTTGATGACTTCTATACTACCTAAAGAATCCTTCCATTTTTTATTTGTTCTCATATTAATTAAAAATTACTCACGTTTGTGTAAACACTATGCTATTTGATACAAAACAGTGGCAAATGCCCGAAACCACAAAGTAAAGACCTTCTGGAGCCTGTGCCCGTGTTTAAAGGGGCCCGCTGTCAGCACACGGCTTTACCCGACCCGATCCGTGTGGACAGCACCGATGCTCTCGTCCCCCATGTAGCATCTGACCCCGTGGTTCCAGGCTGCCGTTATGAAAACCTGGTCAACTGCTGTCAAAACTCAGCCATGGCCTCTCAGTGGTGATATTACACAGTCCTCAGGAGCCTAGTTAGTGTTTTGCAATTTCCTGATACAGGGACATTACAGATTTTGGATAAATACATAATTAGAATTTTAAAACACACATTACAAAGCTTTTCTGTTTTCAATCTTTGAATCAAATCAAGGTTTAATATTGAGAAAAGCTTCAAGTGTTCTGTAACCCAAGACCCTTGAGTTATATTTGTATTTGAGGAACCAAACACAGGCGGACACTGAGAGAAGGTCTCTCTAGGGCACGTGCTGGGTATGTTTAGGTTTTACAAACTGGAGCAACAACATGGCCATACCTTGGTCACTCTGCAAACGCGTGTTGTGTCTGCTTTGTTCTCAATTACTTGAAAGACATTGCTCACTACCATAGAAGGCACCGTGGAAGGGCACCGCCCGGTTCTCCTGTGGACACTCGCTTAGCGCTTGGCAGCTAGCCCAGCCCTTCTCGTCGTCTGCGATCCACGCTGTGCGAGTCTCCTCCTCCGTGACCCTAACCGACTACGTGCCAGCGGTCATGCTGCTCTAATGCACACACGTGTATTTCTCTGTATTTCTCTTCAGTGAAATGCCAGCTCTACGTAGCTGCGAATCTGAAAGCTCTGTTCCAGGCCTGCAGTTCTAATCCCTGAGACGATGAAAAATAGTCCCTACGAAGGCCGCGATTTCATAGAAGCCACGTGGGAACCTTGTGTAACACATGTGGTCAATGTTGCTTCACAGTCAAAGAAAGAAAAGGGTTAAGAAGCTCTTGGTTAGTCTGAGAAATGCTCCTCTTCGTCCTGTTCCCGGCCCAGCCTCGGCGAGCACGTGACCTGCTGCCTGCCAGCCTTCCTGTCGATCCTCTGGAGACCATCTGTGCTGGGGGCATTGATTAGAGTGTGTCTGCTGGGATTACATCTTTCCTGTTGCCATGCCAACTAATCAGCTGATTTGGGTTGCCACAGAAACAAAATGGCAGCACTCGCAGCACGGAGACATGGATTCAGCACAAGAGAAAATGCTTTCTTAATTGGGGACCCTTTTGATTTTGGATTCCAAGTGAAAGGCAGCTTTAAGAAGAAGAAAAAAGGCCAGCTTTAGATAAAAGCTGCATTAATCGTATTGATTAAGAGAAAGGCGTAGAATTTTTCTGGAGAGAGAAGACATTAATTCCCCTTTACAGGCCTTGCCCATTTTCCACCATCTCCAAACAAAACACACGTATTTTTTATGTGCCTCTATTCCATTTGCTGATGGTTTCATATAAAAATCACGAAACCTTCAGATTCCTTTAGCTTCCGTGATGGGATAGAGGGTACCTGGGGTACCCGGCCCTGGGGTAAAGCTGTAGGTGCAGTCGCTCAGGAAGGCCGGCAGGGGCCATGTTCTCCCCATCCTTTCAGCCGAGGGAGTCATTTATTTTTCCTTAAAGAAAAAACACCCAACACGGTAAATTCAGACTCGAGTCTAAGAATTCCCATCTTACACATGACGAGCCCTGGATAAAAATGACTCTGGTTTTGACTGAAAAAGGAGGAGCCCAAGGCCTGTCCCAGTTTTCTGTTTTGTAGGTCTGTGACAATTTGCAGGGAAGGTGCCCAGCTGGCTCACTGCATCACACAGAAACAAGAGCACAATTAAAGTGGACCTCGCAGATGCTCCAGTTGTGGATTCACTGGAAGGGCTGCATACTGCCTCCCGTCACGGAATTCCACCCAGCACGAGTGGACCAGAACCTCCCCCTGCTCTGGGCTTGTTGCTGATAAACACAGAACAAATAGATTAGATAATAAAAAAGCCTGACATTTAACTGGCTAAAATTTGTTTAAATATCCAATAATCCCCTATCAAAAAAAAAAAAAGAGAGAGAGAGAGAGAGAAAGAAAAGAAAAAGGAAGAAAGGAAGAGAAAAAGAAAAAGAAAAGAAAAGAAAAAGAAAAAGAAAGAAAGAGAGAGAGAGAAAGAGGGGATTAGGCACCCAGATATCTGTCCTGTGTGGTTGAGATGCTTGCTGCTTGGCCCAGCCTTGCTTTTGCGTCACTCTGTTGTAAACTGTCACTGTGGGTAGTTTCTGTCACACTAACACCCCAGGGGAGCTGTGTGGCTCCGTCTCCACATAAACCCCTCTGAAAACTTTGATAAATTAGTTCCAACGACAAGGATGACCCAAGGGAGCAGGTGGGACATCTTCCCATTCTCACGCACTCAGCTCTCATGGCCAAGATGCCAGGAAGGAGGCTCTGAAGGTGACTTCACTGAGGAGTTGTGGAACAAGGGGCCCAAAGGCCTGAAATTACCCACAGAGCCTGCTAACTGGATTGGAGGCAGAGGTCCTCAGCCAGATTATCAATAATTATCTTAGTGTTTCTGAGACCTCTGATGGCTCGAAGGCAGGAGATGCTATGACTTCGTGGGGAGGGCTCACATTGGCCCTTGTGACAATTCTCCTCTGGTGCGTGTCCAAGGAGGGCACCACTCTGAGTGAGGTCCACGCCCGGACTCAGTCACCATTCCTTCATGTGTTAGCTTCCCAAAGAGGAAAGTGACTGCTAGTATTTCATAAACACTGGACGTAAAAGGTTAACCATCTTCATGAACTATAGTTCTAGAAGTACTCATGCCCCATACATTGCATCTTCATGAACTATAGTTCTAGAAGTACTCATACTTCATACATTGCGATTAATTTCTTGGCACAGTTATTTGTTTATAAAAGTGTTTTAAAGTTCCCCGAGTGAGACGTCTGTGGCCCACTGGTTACTAGAGCTGGATCTCACACAGCCCGCTGCTGGTCGAGCCCCAGCCCTTGAGAAGCACAAGCCCAGGTGCGTGCATGCCCGACTGCTGACAGGGTGCAGAAATGGGGAGGAGGGACTGCGGTTTGGTCATGCCCCATTGGAGTGCTTCCCTCCCCTGCTCTCTGTCTTCCTGGCAAGCTCAAAGTGCTCTGGAGATTAAAAACATGAAAAGAAATTCAAGTCTCCAGAGTGTTGTATGTTCGTGTTTCACATAGGAAATCTTTCACCATAAAAGCGTGACCAAAATCCCGATAAATTGGGGCCAGAAGGTGGCGTGGTGGTTAAGATGCTGGACTCCCACATGGCTGACCACTATAAAAGTGTTTTAAAGTTCCCCGAGTGAGACGTCTGTGGCCCACTGGTTACTAGAGCTGGATCTCACACAGCCCGCTGCTGGTCGAGCCCCAGCCCTTGAGAAGCACAAGCCCAGGTGCGTGCATGCCCGACTGCTGACAGGGTGCAGAAATGGGGAGGAGGGACTGCGGTTTGGTCATGCCCCATTGGAGTGCTTCCCTCCCCTGCTCTCTGTCTTCCTGGCAAGCTCAAAGTGCTCTGGAGATTAAAAACATGAAAAGAAATTCAAGTCTCCAGAGTGTTGTATGTTCGTGTTTCACATAGGAAATCTTTCACCATAAAAGCGTGACCAAAATCCCGATAAATTGGGGCCAGAAGGTGGCGTGGTGGTTAAGATGCTGGACTCCCACATGGCTGACCACAGTTCAAGTCCCAGATCTGGCAACTTGCTTTTTCTCTCTTTCTCTGGTTAAATTGAATAATAATAATAGATAAATTAAGTTAAATGAATAATTGTTAAAAAGAAACCCAGCATACTAAGAAAGATAAAATCAAAGTTGCTCTGGTCGAATCCGAAAATAAACTGAGACCTCCCAGTCTGGGTGGAGGCCAAAGCCCTCCTGGCCTCTGCCCTGAGATCCGTTACCACCCTTTGGCTCTCAGCACGTCATGGAAACACTGGTCTGCGTTCTGGGTTCTTTTTATTGCCGGGGACAGTACAAGGGAACTTCAAAACGTTTGTGAAAAATGGGGTTAAAGTGAGCGTCCATTAGGGTACAAAAACATTTTGAAATTCACACACAGATTCTGCATAACAGCTTTCTAGGAGCTCTTTGAGGACCCACTTGCATTAGAGTCTATACACGTAATTTTATTCATGTTTTTTTCCTCAACAATTCTACATAAAAATATCATTGTCCCTGTTTTGCAGGTGAGGACACTGGAGTTTAGGGATTATATTGATTTTCTCAGGTTTCAGAACGAGTAAAAGAAAGTGAAGACCCAATCCAGCCCTGCCTGGTGCCAGGGCCCCAATCCCTGCACCCTTCCCTAAGGCAGAGGGGAGCCGTTGTGTGAAATATTAGGAGTCACTTTCCTCTTTGGGGAAAGTGAAGGACCAACCCTTGTTGCTCGGACTGGTCTGCTCCGACACCACCCCTGTTCTGCAGCTGGCATGGGCTTGGGGTGTGATTGCCTAGCCTGTCTTCCCATTTCTAAGTCATTAATGGTGGAAAGAACAGTAAATTAGATAGTAGCTGCGTGCTAAAAATGATATGAATATCAAAAGGAGATAAAATGCCGCCCCGTTGCCGGTCACTCCATCAAGAAGGAGAGCCTCTGAAACTCCATTATGTTTCATTAATTATATATGTTTTTCTTAAAAGATAAAAAGCCCCATCCCCCAAGACTGGCCTTGTGCAAGCATACTATGTCACTGTGGTGTGATGACACCAGTGAGAGTTTCTAAACTTGCCTCTATTTTCCATGTCTGTGGGAAGCTGATACCCACTGCCTTGGTGAAGCATTGGCGGTTAAAGTTTTTCTTTGGAAACGAAAGCTTCCTGTAGTTGAGTAACCTCATAATATCCCACACGTATGCATACATGATTTTGCTGGTTACTTGCTCCCAGAGGACACCAAGTTTAGAACGCAAGCTCCCAAGCTAGAAGCAAGAACAGGGAGCTGAGAGGGTGCCATGGGTGGCAGGCACTGTTTGCTGCTAGTTTTTGAGCCAGAATCCCTAGAGGATGGGTCGGTCCCCACAGTCGCAGATGAAGAGAGGCTCCTAGATTTGGGTAGTAACCGGCCGGCTTCTCCTACCAAGGCCAGCAGGTGGCTGCACTTCTGCAGGATCAATTCTAGCTCTGACAGTTGTCCCCAGTGCCATGGATTAACCCTTGCCACGTCTCTGATAGGGGCCAGCACGGCCCAAGGACAGTAGGGAGACCCTGCTAAGCAGGCAATGAGTGGCTTCCACCAAGTGGGAACGAATGAGTGTCTTCTGTCTCCAGGTGTGTACAGAAGGCAGGCTGATCCTGGAGTTCGCCTTCGATGACCTCATGAGGATAAAAACCTGGCACTTCACCATCAGACAGTACAGGGAGTTGGTCCCGAGGAGCATCCTAGCCGTGCACGTAAGTCCTGCCCGCGCGCTCTCTTCCCACCCGCGCGCTCTCTTCCCACCCGCGCTCCACCTCACTCAGGGAGTACGTTCCCTCTGTGAGAGAACCCAGCAGCCGTCCCACTGTAGACGACTAACCCTAGACACACACAGCTTCTCTCTCGGCCTTGTGACCCAGGCCCTCGCTCCTCCCTTGTGTCTGGGCGTGGCATATTGAGAGACTGTTTTGATAGCTTATTATTTTAGCTCCAAACTAAGCTTACTTCAGTGAACAATCAGCACTCTCCTCAGCTCTGCAGTCATTATCGGGGACTGCTCTGCGTGGACTCATAAACCATTTGTGCATAACAGGGAAATGCGGTGGGGCAAGACGCGGGAAAACACTTCTGGTTTGACGACAACCATCTGACGCTCCGTGGCACGGTCCCTCGCTGTGTCAGCCCAGCTGGTGCCCCCACATGGCAGCGCTTGAGCCGATGTGAAGAATTGGGGCCCTCTTGGCTCCTTTGGTCAGAACGTATGACCTCTTCAAACGCATGGACACCACAGGTGTGAGGGGAGACTCCATCCTGCCCGGAAGTATCTTTGGAAGTACACGGGAGCTGGTCAGCGCAGGAACAAGCCAGAAAGCACGATTTAGATAAGTCCCTCCTCTAGCACATGATGCATGACTTCCGCCAAGACCTTGACTTTTAAGACCCTGAACAATCAAACGAGGAGAAAGCAGCAGTAGCCGCCGTCTGAGTGTGTAGGGTGCTGGACTGTTTGTGTACATTCTGAATTTAATCCCCACAGTCTTGACCCAGGGACACAGAAAGGTGAGTCATTATTACTCCTATTTTAGAAGTGAGGAAACTGAGACTCAGAAAAGTTCAATAAATTCCCCAATGTTTTTCAGCTGGAAAATGGCAAAAGAAAAACAAACAAACAAAAACAACATTTTGACCAGCTGGCTGGTTCTGACGCTCAGGCTGACAGACTCCCTGTCTCCGCGTCCCAGAGCCCAGGCTGTCTCTGCAGGCCTCGGTCTGGGGCCCTCCAGGCCCTCGCCTGGGGCAGTCAGCACAGTCTGAATGTCCCTTTGATCTTGGATTCCACTACGGCAACTCCGTTTTCCTTCATTATTTCTGACCATCCATAATCCAAGTCCTTAATTTTCAAAACTGAGTTCATGTCTTGCACTCTCCTTAGAGAAATCTGTGGCACCTACTCTTGTTATTTTCAAAATAAACTGGAGATAGTGGCTGGGAGCTAGGTCTTGGACGAGACCACACTGGGTCATAGCCCTGCCGTGTGTCCATGGGCAAATGCACTGACATCTCTGTGCGTCCAGGCCCTCGTGTAAGGCGTGCCCCGGGGACGGGTTTGAGAAGCGGAGTTGGTGACTGTGAGGCGCTGAGCATGATCCCTCCTGCAGGGTTCTCTGCGGGTCTTGACGATCAGCTCTCGGGGAGAGTCTGTCTCCACATCTACCTGTGTCTCATTATCCCATCTTCCAGAACAACCCCTTGAGGTTCCCACGACTACAGCCCTGTAGAGCTGACCCTTCCTAACACACGAGAGGAGTTTAGTAAACACAGGCTCGAGGGCCACAAAACCCCTTAGAAAATGTCGTAGAACTGGCATCGTCTGTTTCCTCCAATGCCGGGTTGTGTATTTGAGTCTGCAGAACCTGCTGGCACTCTCCGTGAGAAAGCAAGTACAGGGAAGAATGAAGTTGCTTTAGTGTGACCCAGAGGTCCCTGCCGTCTCAGGGGTGCAGGCGCAGAGACAGAAGGATGGTCCCCACACCCTTCCACAGGCACCCACTGCTCACACCAGTTAGGGGAGGAGAGGCAAAGAGGACGAGCCCTGACCTGGAGACTCACTCCAAGTGGAGAATTTCCATGGCTTCTGGCTACGGGAGATTCCGCGTGGCCACAGCACGCAGAGTCCCTTGTAAAATGCGGCTGTCATTTTGGACATTGTGATACTTACCTCGACAGCCCTGCTGTGGAACGGTTCTGGACAACCATTTCTAGGCACAGCCTAATGGGGAGAAGAGTTAGAATTACGAACAAGCCGGAGACAGGTGCACGCACGTGTGTGTGTTCACAGTTGTCAGACGCAGTCCCAAGCTGTAAAAATACCACCATGATCACAGCAGGAAGTGGAGGCTGGCCCTGAGGCCCAGCTCTGTGGTGAGGCCTGGCCCTGAAGCCCGGCTGTATAGTGAGGCCTGGCCTTGTGGTTCCTGGCAGAGAGAAACACAGGCCAGAGCGGAGACCCCGCCCGTCCCCCGGACACTGCGCTTCTGAGCAGCTTGGCTTTCCAGTCCTGCCCAAATGATCTGGAAATGTCCTTGACTGTTACATGTGTGTCTTCAAAATGTAAATTACATTTTCTTCAGCAACCTGCCCCTCCAAGAAAAATTGACAATGTCAGGGTTGCATCTTTAGCAATTGTAGCACAGGCTAAGATTTTCCTTGGGACCATTTTGTAGGGATAAACACGTGATTTCTTTTTCCTGTTTAGGCACAAGATCCTCAGGTCCTGGATCAGCTGTCTAAAAACATCACCAGGATGGGGCTGACCAACTTCACCCTCAACTACCTCAGGGTAAGCCTGATGGGATGGGATGCTTCCTGGTGGATGTGGAAGTCCTTCAGAGACCTACGTGCACCCCGCACCAGAGTCGAATGAGGTGGCAGGCACAGTGAGGGAGCTCTGCACCACGGAGCTGAGTGTGTGTGTGTGTGTCTGTGTGTCTGTGTGTGCGCGCGTGTCTGTGCGCGCATGATCACAGCAGGAAGTGGAGGCTGGCCCTGAGGCCCAGCTCTGTGGTGAGGCCTGGCCCTGAAGCCCGGCTGTATGGTGAGGCCTGGCCTTGTGGTTCCTGGCAGAGAGAAACACAGGCCAGAGCGGAGACCCCGCCCGTCCCCCGGACACTGCGCTTCTGAGCAGCTTGGCTTTCCAGTCCTGCCCAAATGATCTGGAAATGTCCTTGACTGTTACATGTGTGTCTTCAAAATGTAAATTACATTTTCTTCAGCAACCTGCCCCTCCAAGAAAAATTGACAATGTCAGGGTTGCATCTTTAGCAATTGTAGCACAGGCTAAGATTTTCCTTGGGACCATTTTGTAGGGATAAACACGTGATTTCTTTTTCCTGTTTAGGCACAAGATCCTCAGGTCCTGGATCAGCTGTCTAAAAACATCACCAGGATGGGGCTGACCAACTTCACCCTCAACTACCTCAGGGTAAGCCTGATGGGATGGGATGCTTCCTGGTGGATGTGGAAGTCCTTCAGAGACCTACGTGCACCCCGCACCAGAGTCGAATGAGGTGGCAGGCACAGTGAGGGAGCTCTGCACCACGGAGCTGAGTGTGTGTGTGTGTGTCTGTGTGTCTGTGTGTGCGCGCGTGTCTGTGCGCGTGTGTGTGCATGTGTGTGTGCGTGAGTGTGTGGGTGTTCAGCACAAGTTGTGGTTCAACTAACAAAGCATCAAACCAAGAATGTGCCAAGGTGGAGCATCCTCTATGCACTCGTGTGACTCGGAATCAATTATTCAAGGCTAGCGATGTCCCCGGCTCATCAAGTGCTGGTGCCCTCCCCAGTGGTCGAGAGCTCACGGCTCTGTCTCTAGAACCCAGCCGCCACTTGGGAGAAGCGTGTGTTGTCCTAGCCTGAGGCCACCGTGCCCGGGGTTTTGAACAGTGCCGTGACACGAACACTCCTGAGGCTCCTTAGGCACTGTCTGGCACGTGACATATTTTCTTCCGGTCTGGATGTAAATTTAGTTTTTATTTTTTTTAAATGAAGTGTTTCAAGCAAAACCCCTGCTCCTCTGAGATGCACCCACGGAGCAGCAGCCCCTCCCCAGGGCTCCGGCTGCACCCTAAGCTTTGCCTCGCTCTCTTACTCATGGTGCCCCCACTCCCGAGCCTTGCCAGGCACCCGCCGTCTTCCGTGTAACCACGCCGCATCTCTGGAGTGTGTACTGGCCCAGCTGGCCCCTCTGTGGCCCAGGGACAGTTCAGACAGATCCCTCCAAGTCACTCTTGTAGTGCAGCGGGCCAGGCCTTGGGCTAGACCAAGATGAGGAGACCAGTCCCACCTACCATCCAGACCGTGCCAGGAGGGCAGCCCCACAGAGAGACCACTACATACAGAGTGGCGAGTAGCACTTGAGAAGGTTTTGGAAGGAATTACAGAGCACAGGACAGGCACTCAGAGGGCTGGGCCGGAGCTGCGTGGGGAGGACGGCGTATCCACTGGGTGTAGAAGAGTGAACGGGGAAGGCTCTTCCTGTGGGCGCAGTTTGAGGCTAGCGTTCCAAGCAGCTGTGATGCTGGGACTCCGTGAGAGAGATAGTTACGGGAGCCAGGACTTAGAGCCAGTGGTGGCCGGGCCTCCAGGCCCACAGAGAGTCCGGGTAATGAGGATCCTGAAAGAATTAAACAGGGAGACGTCGGGACAGTTGTCAGTGCAAGCGGGAGATGCTTTCTGTCCGCAGCCCAGATGCCCCGAGGCAAGTCCAGATGGAAAGGCAGAGCCGGCCGCGCCCAGCAACCTCCCATTCTGACGTCCCTCGGTCTCGAGACCTCGTCTCCCCAGGCATGGGGCCAGCAGGGCTGGGCTCCCCACAGGGTAGCTGGACCTTCATCTTCCAAACCCCCAGGCTTTGTGCTTGGGCCAGCCCTCCCGAGGCGGTGTCCTTCTTGTTGGGCCGGGCCAGTTAAGATGGAGGCGCCGCCCCCTCGCACAGAGAAGCTCCCGCATCTCAGGAGGGTCTCACTCTTGGGCATCCACCCAGACTCGGTCACTGGCCCTCTGGAGAGATCGGGGACACCTTGGGCACATCTTCCGGCTGCATTTAGCACAGCATGATGAAGGCTAGATGTCCTTCCTCTACCCCCCACAGCTTCTGTAAATGGCTGTCCTCCACTGGCGGTCAGGCCCACCCGGTCCCCTCAGCCTGTCGTCCTTCCATTTCAGCTCACGAAGCCTGAGATTAGACACAGCACCCACTGCAGCCCTGTCGATACCAGGGAGGCGTCTGTGAGTTTGTGGTTTGGACTAGCATTGCAAGGCCACTCAAGTGCAGTGCCTGCTGTTCACCGGCCGGTACCCCTCCCACCTGGCTCACCCTCCCCCACGGCCCCGTGCACCGTCGCCCCCCAAGGCTTGACTTACCAAGTGGCAGAAGCAGGACTTTAACCCAGGCAGTCTAGCTCGAGAATCCATGTGCTTCACTGCCAAACTGCTTGGTGCCTTCCTAGTGGAAGGTGAGAGCGATGGCACTGCCAGGAATCGGCTGTGTCTTCCCCACTCAGGGCGTCGGGTCCAGTGTGGGGCCCTTCAAGCACTTTGTCTCCCACTCCGCGTACGGGGACGTGAGAAGCACTAAGTCTGATGGTCCACAGGAGGCTTAGCAGAGGCCTGAGTCAGGCTGCCGCTGTCACTCATGGGCACCTACTGCATGTCCCAGGACCCTGAGTCCCGAGCCGCTGAGGCAGCACGGCGCCCGCTCTTCTCTCTCCCGGGCCGAGCGCTCCGTAGCTTCAGCCGTTTCCAGCTCAGCGGCCGGGCGTCTTCCTCCTTCCACTCCCTCCGTCACCCATGACGGGGCGGAGCCTGCTCTGTATTCAGGCCGTGCCCGGACTGGACAGCAGCACAGAGATGTGGCCGCCATGCTAGCTGGTGTCCATGGGCCATGGGGTGGGCGGCTACACCTCCGACGAGGTAGACTGAAGAGGGCCACGCCAGGCTGTGTAGCCAGGAGGGCTTGTGATGGCCCTGGGGGTGGAGGACAGATGCCACGCTTCCCAGCAACAATTGTCGGGGTGGCCGTGGCCGCCGGCAGGGCGAGGCTGAGCAGAACCTCATCTGCACCCAAGACCAGACCAGGGCACGTGGCAGGGCCTGGCCTGGGAGCAGGGGCTGCAAACAGCGGGTGGAGGTTCTTTCCTCAGCTCAAAGCTGGGCCACGAGGTCCCCCAGTAGTCTTACCACCTGATATTTTATGGCAGTAGAGCAGTTTCAAAACACGCTTATTTATAAATGCTGTATATAAATGCGGTATTATAAATACCCCGTCCATCTGAGGAACCCAGCTGTCACTTGCCGGAGGCCTCAGAAGGTCTTCTTAAGTGCTGTTCAAACAGTTACGAGGGGGCCCGCAGATGGCATGATAATTACGTCACTGGACTCCCACGTATCAACTGCAGTTTGATTCCTGGACCCAACAGCTTAAAACTCACAGTGAGCGTGTGTGCGTGTGTACTCAAAATCCTGAGAGAAGACTGAAGGAGAATGGATTGTGGTGTGGCCATCCTCCCCAGGGTTGATTTCTTGCCTTCTCTCTCTCTGTCTCTCCAGCAAACACATGTGCCCCATAGCAAAACTCTCTCTAAAAAGTAAACATCACCAAGCAGCTGCGATTCCACCCTGTGTCCAAAAAGAGATCAGAAAGGTCTGCGGGCAAATGTCCCTCCAAGGCTTCTACACCAGTAGAAGGGTGTTACGAGCAGACGTGACCTGCCTTGGGGAGGAGGGCAGGGATTGTGACCCCTTCAGACATCCGAGACCCCCACGTGCAGCGTCCCACAGACTGAGCAGTGCAAAGCCAGCAGCTGAGACCGTCCAGCTTTGTCAGACACGTGTGTTCCCCACTCCCCGCCCCCCCCCCCGGACCCCTGCGACACCGGTGTGCCCCCCCCCCCCCCCCCCCCCCCCGGAGTCCGCATCATCCCCCCAGAAGCCTGCGCTGGAAAGTTGCTGAGGAGCGGGAGGGGCTGCGAGGCTGAGCTGGGGATGCAGCTGTCAGAGCGGGGCGGGGCGGCGCTGCCCGGCTGAGGGCCCTGGTGACCTGAGGCACTTGGAGGAGAGCAGGGAGTAGAGCAGCAAAGACAGCTCTTCTCCACTGACAAGCCTGAGGCCCTTCCCACCCTCCTGATCTCAGGATGACTTAAATTTGACTCGCAGCTTTCTGTGCAGTCGTCGAGCAGTCTGCGTCACCGTGTCTCCCAGCTTGGCACCTGAGGCTGTGGGCAGCCCTGCTGCCTCCCAGCCAGCCCCTCTCTTCCTGACCTGTCCTCCCTCCTGTACCGCACAAGCCACTGCAGCTGGTTGTCCATGCTGCTCACCTCCCTATCTCTGGACGTCTGACTCACTGCCTGGAACTCTGTCCCTGCCCCTCTCTTCCTGTTCAGTTTTCCATGCTAGCTCCTTCAGGGCCTGAAGGACTCTCTCATCTGTCTTCTGAGATGCTGGTAGGTGACCCTTCCTGGGGCTGCGGGAGCTCTGTGCACCTGGTCTTGTGCTTGGCTCTTGGCAAGTCCCAGGTAAGAACAGTCACTCTGCGTGTCTGTCTTATGCACTAGGCTCTGAACAGCATGAAAGCACGTAAGCGTACAGTGAATGTCTCTTGAATGGATACTTAGCAGGTGGGAGGTTTGGAAAATGGAAGACACAGTTCTGGCAACACAAAACACACGCGCACACACACGCATGCACACACACACGTAAATTCACTTGTCTTACGGCATCTCGAAAGAAGGTGGGATTCTTTGTCTGAGTCACTGCCTACAACTTCCCTGTGAAATCTGAACAGAA